TTTAATAAAACATGGCGTTAATAAGTGAGGCCTCTGTAGAGATGACGATAAAGCAGATCAAGGTGGGGGAAAAGACACTGTTTACTCATGGCCCATGATCTCCAAGCAATCTCTCCAGGCTCCAAGTTATCTACAAATTCTCATTTTTTACCATCCACAAATATATAAACTGGAGCCCTGATTAGAATGGTCACTTGTGGCCACTGAGAGACCAACAAGCATGGAGACAAAGAGACACTGTTGTTATGGTGGGGATTTCCTAAGCAGTCAAAGTTTGGCTCAATATAGATTAGCTGCTGAAATGCTTGATTGGCTCAGGCAGCGCTGAGGAAATTGGCTCCAAATAGAGCCAAGGCAGTACCAACAAATACGTTAGGTATACTGAGTCCCTTAGCTGCAAATTTTCAAAGAAACATTTGCATTGTGCGCTAAAAACACTCAGCCTCCCATACCCACTCTTTTCGCAGCTACAGACCTGCCTCCGCCAACTGCCAGTGAATCAGCATCTCCTTTCATGAAGAAGGTGTTTTTGCCAGTCCATTTAAATACCTGGAGATGGGGAAAAAACATATTTGCAACTAGCAAATAGGCATCTTGGGAATAAGAGGCACAGCTGTTACTGTAAAGTTTGATCAAGTAACAAGTCCTTTGTGTCCCAGAACTTGCTTGAAGCTCTTTACATTGTACACTGAACTGAAATTTATTGAGCACTGTACCAGCATCCTTTATTAAATTCTTGCAGACTTTGACTAAGAATATGGAATGATGTTAAGAAGTAATCTCTGGTTGTACCATATGTCTGACAGAGAATCTGTGACAGCCGTTACAGCGCAGTGGTTATAGCACTGATCCTAGGAGTGAGGAGACCAGGCTTCAAAGCCTCACTCAGCCATTAAGTTTGTGAGGTAACTTCGGGCCAGTGGTTATTTCTTAGCCTAACCTGTCTCCCTGGGTGTTTGTGAAGATAAAATTGAGGAGGGGAGAACAATGTGTGCTGCCCTAAGCTCCTTGAACGAAGTGCGAAAGAAAACCCTGATAGATGTACAGGAAAAAGAAGCAAGGCCTACACACGCACCCTTTATTCCATGTTTGCCGTTACTGGTTTACCACTTTCTTCCATCTGTTTCAGTTATGACTTATTATAGTAGAACAATGGCTGTACAGCAGTGGAATGGATCACAACAGCAGGTTGGATCCAGACTATATTTTGGCAGTTTCCATCAGTTCCCCTTTCTGCTTCTGAACCCACTCATGCCATTCCTCATGGTCCCCTGTTTCCCAGGAGTAGTGTTTCGTGGAGATCAGTGGGCTGCTATGGAGTGGGGGTTCCAGGAAATTCCCATTCTGCCATTGAAAAATTTAGTCTGGATCCAACCCATTGAGTCCTTTAATGGTTATGCACAGACTGATTTTTCAGTTGTGACAGATGTTTAATATCCCTGAAGTTGTGAACTAGCACACACACAGTCACGTACCCCTGCAGCAATGCCCCTATTTAGGAAACGGTATGGCTTCAATCACCTTCAGTTGTGGGTTGAAGGAGAACAAGAACATTTCTCCATTCCCATAGAAGCTGTTGCTGACATGGATGGCTGTAGAAGAAAAGGCTCCAAATATCTGAAAAAAGGATGCAGAAAAGGGAGATTTATGCAGGTAGGGCTTTTGTGTTTGCCCAATGCCCAAAGCAGCTCAAAATATAGGCAAAATACAACAGTATTCTGAACGTGGATGTCCATACTTGCATTCAAAATGTGTAGTTAGCTGTCATTTCAGATTTCTTAAAATGTATGGTCTTTTCTAGGTGGAATTTTAGGCCCTACTCAACCTGCTGTTTTTGAGTGTCAGTCGCTTTACGTTCAGAGGCTTTGCAAGGGGAAATTTTCTGCTGTCCATGAACAGGTTAGCTGAAAAGAATCTTTATCAAAAATATACCCAGGAATTAAAGCTAGTATATAAAGGGCACCTCATTTCAAGAAGGGCCAAGCACTTGATGTTCGTTGCTACAATTAAAAATGACATTTCTAGGAGTGCAGAATTCAGCACCCTAATACTCTCAAGTGTTATGTATCAGCATCCTAATAATCTGAGATGTTATGCAGGGCAGCAAAGACCGACTTCCAAGTCAGTAACAGTAACCAGAAAATGTTTTCCACTGGACAGGATTTGAGTATACATAGCACTCTGCACCTTACTATGCCTAGCAAAACCAGGATAAATGACCAAATACATGAATTAATGCTCATACTTTACACAGATTGTATATTTCAGCTGTTCTTGAAACAGAGTTTAGTTTAATTCAGTAGAAATTAAAAAAAAAAATTTTGCACACAGTATATGTTTTCTGGAGCATAATGGCCCATTTGAGTGTATATATTGCTGTTGAAATGCTACTTATGCACTTCAGAGAACTAGATGCATTGATTTAATTTGTCCTAATTTTCTGCTTGTTTTATCTTTTGACTCCAATGTATTCATTTTATACTTTGTTGTTAGTCCCAGCAATCACGTGCTGGTAGCCATGTATCAAGGGGCAGGTAGAAATGTTTTAAATACCTATGGAGAAAGAATTTCAGCAGTTACATTGCCAGGCTCAGGCATTTGTAATAAGGAAGAAATTTTAAAGACTTCCAACATTAATTAGCTTTGCTTTGCTACTTTTTGGACCTTTCAGCCCCTGCTTACCTGACCATCAGTGTCTCTAATGACCAGCAAGATAGGAGAGACCAAGTCAGTCATGCTTCGGTACATGGTCTTGAGGCTAAATCCATCCCGCGCTGTACAGTAGATGAGGTTCCATGAGTGTCCAATTACTCTCAGGGGGAAGTGTGGGGCAAGCTGAGGAAGTATCAGATATACAAGCTCAGTCCTCTTATTGCCCCTTAGGCAGTCTCTTTTCTCCTTAGAGCAGTGGCTCCCAATCTTCTTGAGTATGAGGGACCCCCTTTTAACACCACAATGTTTCACAGACACCCCCCACCTCCATGATAGCAGTTGTAATATTGGTATCCCTTGACTGAGAAAATAAACCAGCCAGCACTTGGAGTCATTAATGGGCTGGATGAAGGTGAACAAACAGAAACTTCTCCTTGAATGAGATGACTGGGGCTGCTTTGCAGCTTTCATTGGTCATCTGGTTGAAAGCTAGGCAGCACAAGACCAATACAAAAGCTTCATGTGTTTGTATAGTTTGGAGTGAGTGGTATAGAAAGACCCCTTTGCTAACACAGTTAGCAGTTAGTCTGTACTCATGGGAATTTGCTTGGATGAACAATGATCTTCCAGTCCTTGACAGAACAATTGGTGGATGCTTTTTTATCTTGATTTTGACTCTGTTTTTCAGTGGTAAGTTGGCTCCCAAAGGAGTTCATGGTTATCAGAATCTAACACAAATAATGATTATAGTTGGTCTGAAACAGTAGAACAAATTTAGATTCCTTTAAGACCAACAAAGGTTTATTCAGTGTATGAGCTTTCGTGTGCAAGGCACACTTTCAAATACATTTTGAAAAAATGTCCCTTGCACATGAAAGCTCATACCTTGAATAAACCTTTATTGGTCTTAAAGGTTCCTTATGGAATACAAAATGTTCCTTATGGAGAGAATTCTCAGTCGTGACGGATCCAGGCATGATCAAGGGATGCTTGGTTGCTCCTCCCACCCCATGGCCTTAGCAATAACAATTGGGCTGCAGGAAGGTGGCCCTCGACTTCAGAAAGTGCTGTCAGATCTCTGGGCATGTTGTGATCACTAATCTAGGTGGCAAAATAAATGAGAAGTCCAGTGGCACCTTAACAAATAGCAAAATTTATTCCAGCATACAGCTTTCTTGAATCAGAGCTCACTTCAGAGGCATGAACTGCTCCCCCACACCTACCGGGTTACTCTAGGGTGGCTGAAAGGGAAACGTGTGTCCTGGTGATATACTCCTGGCCCCTAAGGGCTTCCTGGTGCAGCTCTGGGCCCTCCTGGGCTGGCAGAAATGTGGGAGGGATCAGGGAATCCAACTGATGGGCCAACAAGGGAGCCACTGCTAAAACAGTGTCTCCTTAAAGGGCCAGACCCCATGCCTCCATTCAAGGCATGGACATTTCCTGCTGCACTAGAAATGAGAGGGGGTGGGTGATGGAAGCCAGTATGCTCCAGCCCAGCCTCTCATGAGGAGTGGTTCCCTTCATGCATAGGCAAGCAGATCTCACTGGGCTGGTACAGCCTCGGAACCTCCAGCTGAAGATGGCATGAGACCACCTGCCTGGGTTGGGGGCTCTGAGCAGGCAGAGCCAATTGGAGAGATGTGGCCATGCTGCAGCAAGCCAGCTGGTAGATGACAAAAGAAGCTGGGGGAAAGGCGGAAACCTCCCCAACCTGAATGGATTCATGGACCTCATGTAATAACTCCACAGCCCCCCAGAAGCTGCCAGCCCACAAGTGAGGAACCACTGCCTTAGGGCTACTCGTTGCGAGGATCTGTTCCTTACATCCAAGCTAACCTCAGCCGTTGGTTCCTCTTAACTCTGGCCATCTCCTGGTATTGTCTGTTAAAAAGTGGGAGTAAAACTCTTGGCAATGGGGCTTCTATTGCCCTATTTGTGATACTGGGGCCCCAGAATTCTCAACTGAACATACATCATTTGAGGAAAAACCTTGGAGGTGATGTATGGAGGCAAGGGGTTTACTGGGAGAGTCCTGCAACAGCAATCTTTCAGCAAAAATGTTGAACCTCAAAGTGAAGCCAACCCCCAGCTCTCTACAGAACTATAGAGTATGTTGGGAAATGTGCTCACCTTCTGGATTTCTTCTAAGTGCACAATGTTGCTCTTTTCATTCAATACCGGTTCATGAAAGTCTTCTGTGCATAAGGCTGGAGTGTCTGTAGCTGTACAGGCTGGGTTCTCCTGTTCAGCAGCTTCTTCAGGTTCCAGAGGAAAATCTTCATCTAGTAGGCTGGGCTAGTGAAAGGTCAAGCATTGTTAGAGGCAAACAGAACAATGTGACAACTGTTCCCCCCCCACACACACACACACTTGGTCCACAAAATATCTCCCTCTGGGAGAAAAGATGGAACTTCAGCTTGTTAGAAGGATACCTTTCAGAGAGAAAAATAAAGGCTAAGGGACAGGGCATAGAAACTGGCATACAGAAATTAATCTTAGATTGTTTGCTCCAGAGAATTTTTAATTTCAGTGAATAAGCATGAGACCTCTGCCATTTTGACTGTTATTCCAAGTAAGTTACCTGAAATGTATGTTACTAACCAGTTATCTTGCTAGGGAAAATATTACCCCGATGACCTCAAGCCACACAAATGTCCTTCAACTTGTATTCTCAACACGTATTATTGTCTCTAAAATAAACAGGATTCTTATTTTTATTAGGTTTCTAATTTATACCCACTTTACTCTCTAGTGAGGAGCCAAAGCAGCTTGTTATGTCATTCTTCCCTTCTCCACCTTATGCACATGACAGCAAACCTGTGAGGTAGGTTAAGATGAGATAGTGTGATGGACCCATGGTCACCTAGTGGGGTTCCATAGTAAAGTAGGGTTCCAAAACTGTTTGTCCCTGATCCTTGTCTGACACTTACCACTATGCCATGCCAGTTCTCTTGTGGCACTTTAAAGACTAACAAATTTTATTTAATCTTTTGTGAGCTGTGCTCACTTAGTTAGAAGGATAGAGTGAACATTTACTTGGCAGAACCATTTACAATCAGAATTACAAGTTGAAGGGACTTGTCTTACAAATAAGGTTGCCAATTGGCCTGGAGAAACAAAAATAGATCCATAATGAGAGATTATTTAGAAGAAGAGTAGGTTTTCTCTACTTTGTGTCTCAGAGCAGCTTAGAATCTCCTTCCCATCCTCTCCCCACCACAGGAACCTTGTGAGGCGAACTGAGAGTGGCCCAAGTTCACCCAGCTGGTTGCATGTGGAGCAGTGGGGAATCAAACCCAGTCCTCCAGATCAAAGTCCACCACTCTTAACCACTACACGGCACTGGCTGTCATTTTTACCAGGCTCTCTATTTGCCAGGTGATATGCCCATTTCCACATATTAGTAAAGGTAAAGGTTCCCTTTCTCAAGAGCTGGTTGAATCCAACACTAGGGGGCAGTGCTCAGAGCTGGTTGAACCCAACACTAGGGGGCAGTGCTAATCTCCCATTTCCAAGACGAAGAGCCAGCACTGTCCGTAGATGTTTCCGTGGTCATGTGGCCGGCATGATTAAACATCAAAGCGTACGGAATGCTGTTACCTTACCACCAACGTGGTACCTATTTATCTACTTGCAATTTCTTGCTTTCGAACTGCTAGGTTGGCAGGAGCTGGGGCCAGAGACGGGAGTCCATCACGAGGCACTAGGGTCTCAAATTGCCAAGCTACAGACCTTCCAGTCTGCAGCTCAGCATCTTAACCTCTAAACCACCGTGGCCACACATTAATCCTCTATTAAAAAGACATAATATTTTCCTCCAGGTCTGTTGGCAACCCTACTTGCAAAGGAAGAACTGTTGTGAATCCCATCATAAATCATTCAGGTCTGAGAGACTGAAACTAATATGGTTTGTTGCATGAGGTTAGCAGTCCCAAAAAGAAGCAGGGGGGAAAAAACAAAAACCAATAAAAAGTCTTCTAGTCAGAGTGAGCAAGGAACCACACATAACTGTTAACAAACTGACAATGAAAAATGTTTGACAAATACATTTCCAACTGTTAAAAGTCCAGGGTGACAAGTGATTGGTAAAATTCAAATCTAATAAAGAGAAATACAGAGATCATACAACTGGTTTAACAAAACATAACCCAACCTGTGAAAGGTAATCAAAGGTTTAGGTATTTAGATATTTTTCAAAATTAGTGAGCTAGAAATCCAAAGTTTTTTGTTTAAACTTGTAAAGGGGGGCACATCTATGGAGACAATCAGTACAGAGGATTTTACAATGTTTGAACTCTGCTTAAAATTTTTTAAAAATCCACTTTTTAAAACCAGAATAAATTATGAAGATCTGAAGATCTTCATCTTAACTTCAAGAATTGATTTAGCATAAATTTTACCTGCAGGTTTAGCCCAGAACTTTGAACACACACACACACAAAGCTGCCATATACTGAATCAGACCACTGGTCCATGAAGGTCCCTGTTGTCTACTCAGACTTGGCAGCAGCACTCAAGGATTTTCCACATCACCTACTGCCTGATCCTTTTAACTGGAGGTGCCAGGGATTGAACCAGGGACCTTCTGTATGCCAAGGAAATGTTGTGTCACTAAGCCATGCCCTATCTATAATCAAAGGAAGACCAAACTTTGTGTTTGCTTACTACTACAAATTCTATGCTAAGAAGAGCTGGATTTTGTAACATACATACATGCATACTTGATATAATTTCTTCTGCTTTGTCAGTCATGGTAGAAAGACAAGAAGCTAGATATACTACTAAAACTTAATGCCTGGCTCCACCTCACACCTACTACTTCTTAGATTTCACAAGTTCTTATGCATATACTTCCAAACCTATTTTTGCAGCTGGAAGGACTAGAAAGCTGCCTTTTTTAAAAGAAGAAAGCTAATATTCGAGGAATGATGAATTCTATCAAATTCTGCACATGCACAGAATAGATACACCCATCCCTACTGGTTAACTATGCTTATTGACTACTAGTGGTGTTAAGGTATCAGTGGTGATGGCATTAGGTACTATCAGCAAAAACTGGAGTCCCTGTGGTAAGATCAGATACTTGCCATGATACAGACATTCACTTCAAAACTGGCAGTGAGGCTAACAGTGAAACTTTAAGGTTTAGTTGTTTTCCCCACAATACCATGCCTGAAGGAAGGGATATTACTGGGGGAGGGCATGCCTCACTGTCTATGGACTGGGATGTGAAGAGTCAGCACAGTTTAACATACCAGCAGTTTGTTACATGCCAGGCCACAAATCACTGCACAGCCACAATTCAATTCAGGAAACCATAATTAATTCATTGCGATTCTAGTTCGGAAGGAGGCCAAATTTTATCTGTGGATTACAGCTTCCCGTTTATTTAGACTGCACAGATCTTGTTCACTTAGATGTTTTCCTCACATTTTGAGACTGCCTTGAATTAAGGTTATCACATTAATGGCCCTCCACCCCAATTAAGAACAATAGCATTCAAAACCCCAGTGGTGTAGTGTCAATAATTTCCATTCCCAGCACTGAAGCCAGATGGTTTCAGAAAGACAGAAATGGTAAGTGGGGGGTGAGAGATAATGCAAGTTTGCTTTCATTTTCATTACCTACTGTTCACTTCCCCCTCCCCAGACGTATAGACCCCCCCAGAACTTACCAGGAGTGAATAGCGGCAGCTTGGCATTTTCATCCTGTCTGCGATTATCCAAGGTAGGACCAGCAAAGGGTTCTGTTTCCTGGGAGGGAGGCAAGGAGGGGGGTGGGTGGAGAGCAGGTGTCTGCCAATGGCCTGTTGAAAGCAACACACTTCCCTATAAACACAGTGTACTTTACCCCTTCTCGGCTGTCACCTGAGATTATTTGAAACCTCCGCTTCTCATATGCTTTTCTATACCTGCACTCTGCAGCTTCAGAAACACAAGTGCCAGAGGGGAAAGAGAGGTACTGGACAAATCCAGCTCTTGCGGTAGCAAAAGGCAACAAAAGCTTTTAATGGTCACACCCAGTTTATAGTAGGGAGCCTTTTTTGTGTGGGGGAATGAGGAGGAAGAATAAACGAGCAAGTGCAGGGAGCTTGCAGGAAAGTGTTTGGAAATGTGAGCCTCCAAGTGCAGGTGGGGGGTTGCATAGGGTCACCAATCTCCAGGCGACAGAGATCAGTCCACCTGGAGAAAATGCCACTTTGGAAGGTGGACTCTATGGCATTCTACCCCATTGAAATCCCTCCCCAAACTCCCCCCTCCTCAGCCTCCACCCACCAAATCTCCAGGTATTTCCCAACCCAGAGTTGCAACAGGTATATTAATGCATTATATATCATCCAGCAGCAAACCCATGTCATACTCCTGGACACGTTGAATTTGTTGAGATGTAAGAACAGACTTGAAGGGAAAAATGGCTCCGGACAATCACTGTAGTACAATTAAAAGTTGCAATGAGTTTCAATGGATTGGTTTCTTCTCCATGAGTCACATTATTTAATTGTGAATCCTACAGTAAGGCAAACTATGACCAGAAAGATGATGAAATTTGAACAGATTCTAATGCAACATATGAATAGCGCAAAAGGAATAACTTCTAAAATATACTCATTTAGTTGAAATATATACAAATACATCAAATGGTCTAAAAACAATATGGGGAAATGATACTGGGATAAAAACAGAACAAAATATATGGAATAAAGTATGGGTGACTCAAACAAGGAAAATTGTATCAATGGTCCTTAGGGAGAATTCTTTGAAATTACTACATCGATGGTATATTACTCTGGTACATCTTGTAAAAATAAGTAATACAAACAACACAAAATGTTGGAGACATTGCAACCAGCAAGGCAATTACATTCACATGTGTTGGTCATGCTCTGTAGTGTCACAGTTTTGGGGAAAATATTTACAGAAATGGAAAATATTATACATTTATGCCACACCAGCGTGGGCTTTGTTGACAATTGGGGTGGGGGAGGGAGGAGAGAGAAAATGGCAAGGTGACATCCAAGGAATTAATAGTGTTTGTGTTGATGGCAGTCTGTAGGGTGATAGCAAAGTGTTGGAAATCTGCAGAATTTTTAACATTACATTACTGGTATTCCGAGCTATGACAAATAGTAGAAAAATGACGTATCAGCTTAGAGTAGTCAAAAATAAAGCCAAAATGTCAGATTTTTATGATACGTGGCATGATTTTATTTCATATACGAATCAGAAAGGTATTCAACAACTATCCAAGCCCTTCCTCAGTTTATGGAAAGAAATTAAGTATACAAAGACTTATTTTTAACTTCCTCTCTTCGTCATATCTTGTAAGATAAATTGAAAAATGTTTTAAATATTAAGCTTTCTGTCAATAATTTGATTCAACATTGTCTTCCTTTTTCTTATTTGTCCTCAGTTAATTTCTTATTCACCCCCGGCTTCCAAGAGTTGGTGTAAGAATCAGATCAGAGGTAGTTTGCCAATGTCAAGAGAGAATCAGATAAAGCAGAAATTCCAAACCTTTCTGAGCCTGCGGGCTCAGTGTGCACAGCTGCAAAATGGCTGCCACGGCCTACCTACAGTCACACAGTGAAGATCTTTGTGCTGTGATGGCAGCTGCTCCCTAGAGTGCATGCAGCTCCCAAGCAAACTCCAGTGAATGGCTCAGTGAACCATCAATGTGATTATTCCTCAGTTGGGGGGATATTCATGACAGGTGATTGTGATGAAATCCAAACCTGCCGAAGTTTGGGCATTGTGAATAAATTTATATTTTCTTTGGAGATTTGAACTGGGCGAAACCTTCACTTTGCATTTTAAAAAGGTCTTTCTCTCTGGGCAGAGAATAGAGAGGAGGAGGAAAGACAGTTCAATTGCTTTCCAGCTTACCTCAGCCACCTTTTTAGAAATGCTAATAAGTCTAGCAAGAGACAATGGGATGGTCAAGCTTGCTCTCTGCCCCCCAGCAAGTAACAGAGACTTGGAGGTATTAAGTACTAGAAGAACTTCAGGAAGAAACTTCTGGAGATTGGAGGAAAAGCTTCTTTGACCTGGCCTGATTGGTAAAATGCCTGGGAGCAAGGAGGGATGTCTCTTTGGTGCTGATTCCATTGAAGTAGGCAGAACTCTGAACTAAGGTCTGGAGGAGGAGGAGGAGGCCATTGCTATGTGCTGGCCTGCGCACCTGAAGGTAGCTTGAAGGTAATGCAACTCCTGTAAAAATTTGTAACTTTCAAAGCTAAGGAGCCTGCTTTATACTTAACAACTGATAGGGCATGTATAGAGGGATGATAGGGCATGTATCGAGGGAGGGACAGAGGAATTGCGGTTTACCCTTTTCTTTTAAATCCGTGGCTCCATCTGGTGCTGTGCTAAAAGCATGCTTGTGAACTTGGAAGGGAAGCTGGGAGTCCTGACCCTCCCATTGGGCAATTCCTACATAGGTCAGGTGATGGTGGTGGCTGAACTGAGAAAGAATAAAGCCCCTCCAGGTGTTGGGACAACCCTGGAGTGCAGGCTGGAACAGGACCTGCTGGTCAGAGCAGAACTGTTCCACCACAGGTATCTCCATTGGTAATGTGCAAAGGACCATGTTTTATGAGTCATAGGCATAACTATTGCCTGATATCAAGACATAGGAGACCATTTGCTTACTCCATGGGTTTGAACTTCACTTATCCACACAAATATTTATGGTTTTGGGGCAGAATAAGAGTCTCAGTAATACAGTATGTGTTTTGGATGCATAAGACCCCAGGTTCAATGCCTGGAATCTCCAGTTAAAGGATCTCAAAAAACGTATGTATTGTGTGTGTAGAACAGCCAGGAGATCTTAAGATTGTCTGGCAGCCAGAAGTTCTAGCTCTTTAGCATTACGCACCACTAGGTGGCAAGCTAGACTTGTTTTTAAGGCAATTCATTTCAGAGGTAGTTTACTATTGCCTGTCTCTGCATCACAACCCTGGTATTCCTTGGAAGTCACTCTTCCAAATACTAGCCAAGGCCGACTCTGCTTAGCTTCTGAGATCTGACAGGACTGTGCTAGCCTAGGCTATTCAGGTCAAGGCGTTGTTGGGAAGATCCTGGACTACTGCTGCTGGTCAAGAAACACTATAGAATCACAGAATCATTGAGTTGGAAGGGGCCATATAGGCCATCTAGTCCAACCCCGTGCTCAATGCCAGGATCAGCCTAGAGCATCCCTGACAAGTGTTTGTCCAGCCGCTGCTTAAAGACTGCCAGTGAGGGGGGAGCTCACCACTTCCCTAGGGAGCTGATTCCACTGCTGAACAACTCTTACTGTCAAAAATCTTTTCCTAATATCCAGCCAGTACCTTTCCACCCTTAATTTAAACCTATTATTGTTAGTCCTATCCTCTGCTGCTAACAGGAACAGCTTCCTGCCCTTCTCTAAGTGACAGACCTTCAAATATTTAAAGAGAGCAATCATGTCCCCCCTCCACCTCCTCTTCTCCAGACCAAACATTCCCAAATCCGTCAGCCTTTCCTCATAGGGCTTGATCTCCAGGTCCCCGACCATCTTTGTCGCTCTCTTCGGCACCTGCTCCATTCTGTCCACATCCTTTTTGAAGTGAGGCCTCCAGAACTATACATAGGATTCCAGGTGTGGCCTAATCAATGCAGTGTACAGCGGGACTATGACATCTTGTGATTTGGAGGTTATTCCTCTGTTGACACCTGCCAAGACTGCCTTAGCCTTTTTTGCACCTGCATCACACTGACTGCTCATATTTAGCT